AAAAAATAAATTTTATGACACCTGTCACAAACTCACATCATTCTTTCAACACAGTTAATAGAGAGAGATTCTTGAGAAATGTTTGAAATAACACTGTTGTGGTGGATAAAATCAGTAAATAAAACTATTCGCATATATTCCTCGAGTGACAATAAAAGTCGTTCGCGATTTTTACGCGATCGTAAAACGTTTGGCGACAATTCAAGACCTTGAAAATCGGAAACCAATTCGTATACTCAAGAGAAATGAAATCAAACTGGTACATCTAAAAAAATTCACTGTCAAAACGTGTCGAAAATATCTAATGAGAAGAAGCTGGAGCGACAGAAGAAGTCGAATTATTTTTTTTTTCAAAGTTAAACTAAAGTTTGCATTTTATTTTAAAAATCTATCGTCGATAGAAGTGACAATATCGAGAAGACTATGTTTACATAACAGTAACCTCTAAAGTAGTATTTTACGCACGCAAAATGGTGTGTAAAGTTTCTTTTTTTACAACAGTATACATAAAGTAAAAAATTCTTATCACAATCATTAACTTTACACACTTGTATCATATTTTACATAATAAAAAATTAAAAAATTTTTTTTTTTTAAAGTATTTTATAGTTTTAAATAATTTTTTTTCTAAATAATTATAATTTTAAAATATACATTTTTTAATTTAAAAAGAGAAACATGATATTCAATTAAAATTTTTATCATGTAAATAAAATTGTTTTTGTAATAAAATTTAATGCATAAAGAGAAATAGCAAATCTTGTGAAATCTCAAGTTGATAACAACATTCTGATGAGAAGAGCAAGTTCTTTCAGTGGAAGTGAAACGTACAAGTCAGACATGAAGACAGCTGCAGTAGAAAAGGTAATTTCTAACGCGACATAATTCGATCTCTGAGGAGAAACATCAAGTTACATTCAGAATTTTAAATTATGACATTCTGACAGAAGAAAATATTTTTTTAGAAAAAGAAAATTATTTTTAGATGTTTGTATCTAAAATTAATACAATATTCTTAACATTGACTCAAAATATACACGTCGGTGAAGTTCACAACGTTTATAATCAACGATTGAGAGGAGAAAATATTTTTCTATATGCAAATTATTTATTTATTTATCAAAAAAATTTTTTTTTTGCAACGTTTCTTGATCAATAATTTAAAAAAAAAAAAAAAATTTTAGGCACAAAATTAGTTATTATTTTTTGAGTGAAAAATATATTTTTTTTCAATCGTTGATCAGAAATGTTGCAAACTTCACCAACGTAAATATAATATATTTTTAAACAATTATTCAACCACGAAACAGACTATAATTAACATCAAAACACCACCAATTGGTAAAATAATAAATAGAAATAAAAAAAGTATATGTTTAGCCGAAGAAAATATTTGTATTCTATATAATAAACAAAGATGAATTTTTTTTCTAACTGAAAAACGAGAATACCTTTCGTTATGTATAAAAAAAAATTCATTCATTCATCGATGAATGAATTTGTTCCAAACATGAGTATTGCACCAAATACTCGAAATAAACAGAAGTTACACGATGGTTCTTCAATAAATAACACTTGTGAATCAAGGGAAGAAACTATATTTGATATTTCCCAAAAGGGCTATGATTCCACTGTTGGGAAAAAATCGTTACCAAACAAATTTACAACCCAAGTTTATATTAAATATGAAATTATATGCTTTCATTCGTACCTTAACTTTCTGGAAGCCATAACCATTTTTTCTTTCGAAAGCGAAAATTCAAATAAACAAGCATATATCGGAAATGCATAGCCGGCATATCGGGTGCGCATAACTGAGAGAAATATTTTGTTTCAGCAAAAAAAAAAAAAACGTATTTTATTGGCATTTTTGCAACAAAATTCTTTTATGTCAAAAATTTTTTTTTCAAATATAAAAAAACTTTAAATAAAGAAATAAATATTTTTCATATATAGTAATATAAAGGATAATATAATATATATAATATAATATTATATATATATATATACCGCAAAATGAAACGTCTTTAAATTGCACTCTTTTGCATTTCAACGAAAGCCACTCGCACACTTATTCCTTTTAGTTACTGTGGAATCAATCCAGAAACTGTTCAAACACAAAGATCAAACTGGATTTGAGTGAATAATTTATAAAGACTATATCTCTATAGTTTCCAGACAAAGTTCGTCTTTCGTTTTATAAAAAGAGCAATTACAATTTATTACGAATAAATGCATTTCTTCTCTTTTAATATTATAAATATTTCTTTTCGCGTTAAAAAGGTATATGTATGAACTTATACCTTTTCAACGCGAAATATTAAGTGTATACAATTTCATCAATTTCATAATATAACTTCATTTAAAAATGTGCTTTAAAAAATATTAAGTTTTTTTTATATTAGTGCGAACAGTTGCGCTTCGCTAATGTAGAATTATACTTTAATTATTACCCAAAAAAAGAGATTTTATTTTAATAATGAACAATGAAACAAAAACAGAATAATACGAAAAATTGGGACGTGACTAATCAAGGATATTTGAATATACAAATTTTATTTAAATAGATATCCAATGACTAATTAATCAGTTTGTCGTTATCTGCGCAGATAATTATTTTAATTTTTTTTCCAGATGCTATTTATTAATTGACAACATTTTACGGTTTCCACTCTCAAATCATTTTAACTTAAAAACAAATAACACAAGCCAACAAAATTTTGTCCTACTTCAGAACTTTTTATTGGGACATTTTCTTTAAGAAATTGACTAAACAAAAACAAACTATCCAGCCCAAGATATTGTAACGTAAAAGTGCAAAAAAGAAAAACAGTTTTTAACCGTATTTGAGGTCATGTAACATCAAGAGATAATTTTTTTTTTTTTTTAAAGTTGTTACAACATCTGAAAGTACTATTCTTACAATTTAAAATGCATTTTGAAACTTTAAAAAATTTTTATTCGGCTCTGAGTTATCGTCATTCGAATTTTTGAAGCAGTATCTGTTTCTTTAGGTACTCGCAGTATACGAATATTTAAACATTCATCAAACTCAGAAAATTCAAATGACAATAACTCAGAGCAAAATGAAATTTTCAAAAAGCATTTTAAAGGGTAAAAATAGTATTTTCGAGTACTGATACGACCATTTTGAAAAAAAGAGTCTCTTGAATGTTACATACCCTCAAATATGGTCAAAAAACGTCTTTTTTGCACTTTTAAGTTAGAACCCCATGACTTTTTTTTTTTTGGAAAAAATGCTCGTAGAATTTTTCAACGATAAAATATCAAAAATCCATCATGATATTTATGTTCAGCAATATACTAAATTTAAAAAAAAAACCCGATTAAATTTACGAAGTGTTTACCCCAACCAAAAATTTCAGTATTATACCAGAGTTAACTACTGGCGCAGTACTGGTTCAGTATTGACTGCCGAGGCTGAGTAGTCTGTACTGAACCAGTACTGGTATTTTCATTCTATCAGTACTGGTGCAGTACCACCCTTATAGTACTGGCAAACAGTACTGAGCCGATATTGAGCCAGTACTGGCTCCAATAGATTTTCTTTTTGATTAATATACTAGTTTACAAAAAGTTCTAGAGTGAACCTGATGAATCTTTTTGTTTAAATATTTTGTTTATAAAAATTTTTTCACTTTGATTTTATTTTTGAAAATTAAAAGGTAATTATATCCGCAAATGGGACTTTAATCAAATGAACTTTTTCGTTTCTAGGATTACACAGCCACACAAAAAAAAAAAAAGTTCTGATCTGGGGGTCTGACTATATATTTTCTATGTCTTTTGGGTCGCTGAATCCGAATCCGAGGCCCATTCAACCCCATCACATCAGGTTTTTGAAAAAACCTCAAAAAACCAAAATGGCGGACACTTTTTTGGAAAATTTATCGGATTCGCTTGAAACTCGCTACTCGGGGGTTTTTGGGGTCGCTGATTACGAATTTAAAGTCAGTTTTCAAAAATTCAAAATGGCGGATCCAATATGGCGGACATTTTTTTGAAAAATTTGCCGGATTTGCTTGAAACTCGCTACTCGGGGGTTTTTGGGGTCTCTGATTACGAATTTGAAGTCAGTTTTCAAAAATTCAAAATGGCGGATCCATTATGGCAGGATTTTTTGTCAACTTTATTAGATTCGCTTGAAACTCGTTACATGAGGGTTTTTGAAGTCGCTGATTACGAATTTGAAGTCCAATTTACAAAATTTAAAATGGCGAATCCAATAAAGATGTTCTTTTGAGAAATCAAAAACTTGAGTGTTTTAATTCACCCGTATTTACTTTGTATCTTGCGTGTGCCTGCGTCCAGGGCACCTCCACGTGGTGTACAGTGGGTAACGCAAATGCCGACGGTACATTATATAGTAAAATAGACGTGATAACATAAACATTGAAACTAAAGATATTACGCGCGTTTAATAGCACAAATTGTAGGTTTTTTTAGATTATGTCCGAATCCTGATATGATAAATTTAAACTGACTTCAAATTCGTAATCAGCGCCCCCAAAAACCCTCGAGTAGCAAGTTTCAAGCAAATCCAGCATTTTTCAAACAAATATCCGCCATATTGGATCCGCCATTTTGAATTTTTGAAAACTGACTTCAAATTCGCAATCAGCGACCCCAAAAACTCCCGAGTAGCGAGTCTCAAGCGAATCCGATAAATTTTCCAAAAAAGTGTCCGCCATTTTGGTTTTTTGAGGTTTTTTCAAAAACCTGATGTGATGGGGTTGAATGGGCCTCGGATTCGGATTCAGCGACCCAAAAGTCATAGAAAATATATAGTCAGACCCCCAGATCAGAACTTTTTTTTTTTTTTGTGTGGCTGTGTTATTAATCAGTCACGCCCCACCCTCTTCTTCCTAATAACTTGATAGATAAAGAAAACTTTAGCAAAACATATACGTTTTCGTTTTTATGACTATTAATTAGTCACACACCCCTCTAATAATTTGATAGATATAAAATATACTCACAACATCGATAAGCTGAGAGAGACGGAGGCCCATTTTGACAGTAAGACGATCACTATTATTGCCAACAGGTCTAATCCAACGGTTGTAATTCGATAACAGGTCGTCGTAGAGGCGTTTCGCGTCCGGATTAGCCGCGACACCCGGAAACATTGTAACGAAACAGGAAATGGCCGTAGCCACCACCAACAATTCGCCCAACCTAGATCGACATCGCCGCCATCCTTTCCCACCGCCATCCGTCCAAGCATCCCTGAACATCGTACGCCTTGTCCACCCCTGTAAATAAATTCAATTGTCAATTGTATTAAATAAAATACTCTTCGATAAATTAATCAACATGGTCAGTTAGTTAAAACATATATGGGCATATCTCTAGAACCTTTAACTTTAATGTCCCACTCATATATTTTGGTAATTTTAATAAATTTTTCGTTGGTTTTTGTTGGAAATATTAATGCTTGATACAATCAATCATTTCCAAAAGATTTCACTTTAATTTATTAAATACATAAATAATTATTTCAATTTTAATACGCGATTTTTAACAATGTCTACTTGTCCTTAACCATACTTTCTGATGCTTTAAACGATATAGTTTTAGATTTAATAAAAATTACTAATTCTGAAATATGTTTTTTCAATGTTAATTAATCGGTGAACACATTTTCGCAGGGAAATTAATATTTTATTAATTGTGAAAAAATTTATAAGCTTTTAAAAGTTGTCCCTCACTTTTAACCTTTTCGACCGTAATCATCGTATTTATGATTTTTCTTTTATAAGACAAGCGGCACGTTAAAATAACTTATGGGAAATCAAAGATCAAGTTACCTACTATAATTATTTTGAGACATAATAAATTGATGTGCTTCATGTCTTTAAAAAACTATTATAAGTTAAATAAACGAAAACACGCGTGGACAAAATTTGAAAACAACCGTAATACGAGTGATACTTCATGAAAATCATATAAAAGTATTCGAAAAGTACTTGTATATATTTTCACATGTGCCATTTAACATCCCGTGAATGTGCTTCGAGAAAAAATACTTTATTGCAAAGATAATGTGAAAATATTCATCAATTACGGTCGACCGTAATCGACCGAAATTTTTTAGAAAGAAATTGTTATGTATGAAGTTGCCGATTATAATTTTTTTTATAAGATGCGAGAGAAAAGGAAAAAAGAGAAAAGAAATTGGAAAATTTACGAATATTAAATTTAAATAAAAAAAAGTCTATGAAAATCGTATGGTAAATTTTAAAAATTACTTAGCTTAGTTCTTGAAGTTTATGTAGACAGAGTTTCAATACTGTGCTCAAAAAAAAAAAAAAAAAAAAAAAAATTTCTTATTGAAAAGTTAAAGGTTTCAAAGATAAGCCCATATAACTACTAAAAAAAAAATTTAGTCACAGGGGCGTAGCCAGAAATAAATTTCGGAAGGGGTTTTGTGAAGGCTTAGGCCTTAAAAATCTTAAACTTACATTGAAAGGGATATAAAAATGAAATTTTTTTTTTTTAAAATACCGCCAAATTTTTTGGGTACTTTTTGAGGGACAAAAAATCTTCAACATTCCTTTCTAAATTCAAAGTCAAATATAGAAAATACATATAAAAAAAGTTTTAAAAATATTTTTAATTTAAAAGAATTTCCGAGCTGAAAAATAAATGTGATTTCTTTTCTTAACAATACACGCAATAAGAATATGTATATAACTTTTGCATGAAATGTATATATATATATATATATAGAAAAATGTTGAAGTATACACCTATCTTTTACATGATAGAACGGATATATATAGTGTCTTCACTATGGAGTTATACGATAGACGTGTTGTTTCAACTAAAAGCTGAGTCGTAAGAGTTTCAACTAAAAGCTTTGTGGGTAACGTCCTTCGCAACTTCTCGAAGGAGAGCAAGTTACTCTCAAATGAATCGTCACACTTCGTATTTGTCGGGAAACTCTGAACAACTAAACAGATTATTGGATGGCACAAGTTCAATAAACTAATCGATCACACAATGCTTTAAAAAACTTTATGTTCGCGCTAGTTGTAATTCTCATTTGAAAATGTGCCATCGAAAATTCCAATATGAAGATAAATATATGTTACATGACAAATACAAAGCATTTTTAATTGATTTTTAAGAGAAATCTCCCTTTTAAAGTATACATAAAAATACAATAAAATTGATTATATATATTTAAACTTATAAATTGTATTTCAGTAAATTCTACACGGAGAAAAATGGAAAAACGAATAAAGTAACTTTTACTACTTTAAAAGTAAAACCATCAACTGTTCGCAGTTTCTGCGCATCTTTGGAAATTTTTACTCTAGAAATAGTAAAATTTACTTCTGAAATAGTAAATTTTACTATTTCTGGAGTTTAAATTGCCAGAAATCCGCAGAAACTGCGGACAGTTTAGGTTTTAATTTTAAAGTAGTAAAAGTTTCTTTATTCGTTTTTCCATTTTTCTCTGTGTACATAGAATCAGAAGTGTAATGAACTTGTTTTATTGAATTTATACGCAGGGGAGTGACTGTAGTCATAAGTGGACCATCCTGGAAAAATCATCTTAAAACTTCTCAAAAATATCATACAATTTAAATACTTACACGAAGAAAACTGGAGTATTAAATTTTCAATGTTATAAATTTATTTAGTTAATATGTTCTTCTTAATAATAATATTAACACTCTATTATATTTCTTCCTTTATGAATGGTACACTTTTGCCATCATTTGTTTTACACTCCAGAAAATTTAAACTAATTATTTCGATATTTAATAGTGTAATACGCAAGTGCAACTGAAAAATGAATATCGATAAATAAAATTGACATATAAAATTTTTCAATTTATGCTTATTATAGTTATTTGTTGTTAGTATGTAAAAATTCGTACAATTACTAAAATTTACTATAAGACAACTCGAATTAAATATTTTTAAGTATAGTTTAATTATTTTTCTCTTCGAAAAAATTTTCTTTTTACGAATTATTACAAGGATATAGCTGACAAATTTTTAAAACTTCTTAATTATTGAAAATTTAAAAACCATATGTATAAATGAAAAATGTTCTACTTTATTCATTGTAATATATAAATTAAATATTATATCCGTTTTATTGCACTGTTTCGTGACTTTTCGCAATATTTTTCTATTTTATATGAAATTAACAAAATATCTTTTAAATACAGAAAAATACCATCTTAAATTAACTTTAGTGACGATTTGTATTTATTCAAACGTGAAATGTGTAATGGTCCTGCACACTGAGAAAACTGTTTGGTATCATGTATCAAAGTTTGGTTGTCCCTACCAAATTTTTTATTTGATATATGTGCAACTAACCCGTTTGGTTGGGAGTACTAAATTTTTTTGTCCAACCGTTAAATTTCGCTCAATTGAATTATTTAGTAGGTGTAACCAAATAATTTAGTCTACGTAATAAATACATTTATTAGAATGAAAAAAAATGTTCTGTTGGCGTAAATAAAATTTAGTTATTTCAACTTACTGTTTTCGTTGATTAAAAAAAATTTTTTTGTAGAAATATCTAAATAATTTGTTTTATATAAAATAGTTTATTTGGTCATTTTTACGATTTTGTATAAAAAATAAGGTATTTTAATTCAAGAGAGATGAGATTAATAATATAACTTTATTAAATTCATTATGCTTAGACATTACAAAAATAATTTATCTTCCCGTAAGTACACACTACGCGCGTTTCATGAAATATCTCAAAATGATATCGCATAAAATTGAGGAGCAAGTTTTCAAAAGTTGATACAGAATGCCACGAGGCATTCTAACCCCCATTCTCTTAGCAAACGTTTTGTCACTTCGTCAGCCATTCTTTCGAAATAAAAGAAACACTTTCAGTACACTTTTAAAAAATAAATATTAATAAAACTTTAATGACACTGCTACGATAATAGACCAGCCGAACAATAAAAACACATGACATAAATGATCGGATAAGCATAACGCGGAAGAGGTCCACGACTGACTAGGCCCTACGACCGACGCCACATTTTCGAGAACAGCGCGTGCGCAATTCTGCGTGCCAGCGATTTAGTACGGAGAACCAAACTGTTTAATTCGTAGACATGAAACCTTCAAAAATATTTTTTGGTAGAGCAAACTAAATTTTTCGATTGATAGCCACTTTCTTTTCTGTTGTGCCAACCATACTTTAGTAAGGCCAACTAAAAATGCTTAACTAAATTATTTTCTTATTATTACGATATTATTTTTCTCAGTGCACTTATGAAAATAGACGGCATTTTTGAGAGCACAAATTTTTTTTGCTTATCAGTTTTGCATGATTAATTTCACTGACTAAATAATGCGTAAAAACCAAACTGACCTCCAGGGCGTTTACATAAAAAAAAAGAGAAGTGGCTCACTCATGACTACATTCCCCTACTATTTACATATGTCGATAAAATATGAAAGAAATATTAATTTATTATTTTGTTGAATATTTTCTGAAACTAATATATTATTATTTTCAATTGTAAATAGTATTATTTGAAACTATCCAAATATATATTTGATTGGAATTTACTTCAATCAAATAACATTAAATAACATAAAACATTTCATTAGAAGACTAATTAAATATATTCTGCCATGCATTGAAAGTCATATATATATATATTAATTGAAAATACTATCAACAGAAACTACCTTGTTGCAAAAGTAACATTATATAAATGAATTACCTAAGTAACAATCCAAGTATTAAATCAAATTTATCTAGTTGTATAGTGTGACAGAAAATTTCACGAAATTTGGTATACGAAAAGTTTTCATTTATATATACGTTGATGAAAATAGTATTACACTGAAAATATATATATATAAATGTACAGTGTGTGTAAATATACATATGTTGCATTCAAATCAACAATTTGCGAATGTCGCAAGTATGTTTTCAACTAACGCTTCGTTTTGTGAATCCTGTGAAACGTATTTGCTCATTAGGAATTTCAAACTGAATATGCTATAGGATGACGGGTGAAACTCGTGAAGGGATAACGGTTCACTTGCTTCGCTACATTGGAACAGGTTGGATGGTAGGTGTTTACCAAAGTAACCGTAAAATACGATTATCTAGAAATTGCGTCAATCCCCTCTCTAATAACACGTATATTTTGTATTTGATGCGTGTGTGCTTTTTTTTATTGGGGAAAATTGCGTGCAACTATGAGATATTACATCATCAAAATATACGTTGGCATAAATACACACATGT